GCTTCACTAATCAGACTCTCCTGGCTGTGCCTCCAGAAGTTCTGTGTGGCCCTGCCAAGCATCAACAGAGAAGGAGTGGAAAGGGGACAGCTGGATCTACCTGACACCTGTGACCCACACCAAAGGCTACTGGGAGGCAAGATCTCAGAGAGACAGCAGGACAGGATGGGAACTCACTTGGGCTGAACGAATCCCTGAATTCAAGCCCCAGCCTCACCTTCTCCTGGTTCTGTGACTTTGGGCCATTTGCTTGGCTTCTTATGCCTCTGCTCTCTCACCTGTGAATGTATCTCCAAGACGCAGTAAGGACAAGGGCGGTAACAAAGGTGAAGGCCCTCAGTAGTGCCTGGGACACATTGAGTGCTCACTAAATATTTGTTGAACTGACAAGAGCAGCAGCTCGCAGTAAATCATATGAAGCAACAGTGGAAGAGCGGAGCCAGCCCAGCTCAGCCAGCAGCACGTGTGCTTCCTGCTCCAAGTGTGGTTCTTGGACCAGCAGTGTCAGCATCACCCTGAAATTAGTTAGAAATGCACATTCTATTTTATATATAGTAGTTAGTATCTGCAAATCCCAAACTCCTAGTTTATCCCTCCAAGCCCCCTCCCCCTGGGAACCATACATTTGTTTTCTGTATCTGTGGGTCTGTTTCTGTTTTGTAAATAAGTTCATTTGTGTTTTTTTTTTTTTAGATTCCACATGTAAGTGATAGCATATGGTATTTTTCCCTTCCTCTTTCTGGCTTACTTCACTTAGTATGATGATCTCCAAGTTCATGCACCTTGCTGCAAATGGCATTATTTTATTCTTTTTATGGCTGAGTAGTATTCCATCATCCATCAATTGAAATTTAGGTTGCTTCCAAGCTCTGGCTATTGTAAATAGTGCTGCTGTGAATATTGGCATGCATGTATCTTTTCAAATTAGAGTTTTCTCCTGATATATGTCCAGGAGTGGGAATTGCTAGATCATATGGTAAGGCTATAATATAAACTAGATAAACAACAAAGTCCTACTGTATAGTACAGAGACCAATATTTAATAACTTGTAATAGCCTATAATAAAAAAGAATATGAAAAGGAATATATATTTATGTATAAGTGAATCCCTTTTCTGTACACCAGAAATTAACACAACATTGTAGACTGATTACACCCCAATAAAAAAATTAAATGAAATAAAATAAAATCACATCCCTGCTCTCAAAAAAATGCACATTCTGAGGGAGGGCCCCAGCAATCTGTTTTCACCAGCCCTCCAGGTGATTCGGGAACCACCGCTCGAAGGAAAGTCCAGCACCCTGAGTCCATAATGGCAGGGAGAGGCATGAGGCAGTCCTGAGCCCCCCTCCCTCACCTCCAGAGCTCCCCCTGTATTCACTAGCACATCAGGTGCAGGGGAGAACAAAGCAGAAAAAGTGAAAGTGTCCTTGGAGCTTGCATTCGTGGAAGGATGTAGACAGGGCACAACCCCAGGACCAAAGAAGGGAGAGGTTCCCTAAACAGCATGGAATGATGGAGGCCGAGGGTCTTTAGATGGGATGGTCAGAAAAAAAGCTCTCTGAGCAAGTGACCTCTGAGTTGATGTTTGAATGGGGAGAAGGAAGCAGCTGTGTAAACATAGGGGCAGAGTGCTCCCAGCAGAGGGTCAGCAGCTGCAAAGGTCCTGGGGCTGGATAGAGGCAGGTGGCTGGAGCCAGTGTAAGAAGTGATTCTTACCTTGCTCCTTCTCTGAGGTCAAAACGATCATGCTAACCCTGTGCCAGAAATGGATGTAAGACAAACAAAAGCCTTCTTCCCCAGGTGCTGCTGGGGGAAGACAGCAGGCAATGCCTGGGGGTGCAGGACCCCAAGAGAGCTCACTTGGGCTGTGTACTCCAGCCCTGCCTCAGGACCCTCTCCCCCCACAGTCAGGCTGCTCTGTGTGATCCTCTCACCACATCGCTGCAATTCTTCCAGGAAGACCCTGCTCCCAAGGTATTTTAACGATTATGGCACCAGGGGGGAAAAAACGCAGTCCAAGGAGACAGGAACACCTGAATTTGAGACCAGCTCTGTGGCCAATTATATAATTTGGGGCAAGGGATTTCATCTCTTTGACCTTGTTCGGCATCTGGAAATAGAGATAGGCATGGCTTCCTCCCAGGCTGGTTGCGAGGATCAAAATACACACAGTGTACAAGACAACTAACCCGGCGTCCAGTAGGTGTTTGAAAAACGGTAGGTGGCTAACAGCACTTTTTCTTCCTTAGCAGAAAGTTTAATTTCTTAAGTGCCAGCATTTTACAGATAATGATAGAAGCCAGTAGGAACAGCAATATTAGTGATCTAGGAATAACAAGTTCCCATCTGAACTCTGAGCAGTTAATGACAAAGAAGCTGAGACGTGTCCACCATGAGCACATCAGCCCTGCTCCCAGGAACAGACTGGCCTCATGGACGTGGAGGTCTCGTAGCAGTGAGGGAGAGGGTCCACGACCAGGAGAAGAGCTAGCCCAGCGCTGTCCATGAGAAATACGCGTGTCATTTTACATTTGCCTGTAACCACATGAAAAAAGCAACAAGAAACGTGAAAACAATCTTTCTTTTTTTATTGAAGTATAGTTGATCTACACTGTTGTGTTAGTTTCTGGTATACAGCAAAGTGATTCAGTTATACAGATACATATATATTCTTTTTCATATTCTTTCCATTATGGTTTGTTACAGGATATTGACTATAGTTTCCTGTGCTATACAGTAGGACCTTGTTGTTTATTCTATACGTAGTAGTTTGTATCTGCTAATCCCAAACTCCTAATTTATTCCCCCCACCAAACCTTTCCCCTCTGGTAACTGGGGAAGTCTGTTTCTGTTCTATAAATAAGTTCATTTATATCGTATTTTAGAGTCCACATATAAGTGGTATCATATATTTGTCTTTCCCTGTCTGATTTACTTCACTTAGTATGATCATCTCTAGGTCCATCCGTGTTGCTGCAGATGGCATTATTTCATTCTTTTTTATGGCTGAGTAGTATTCCATTGTGTATACATACCATATCCTCTTTATCCAGTCATCTGTCAATGAAAATTTGGGTTGCTTCCATGTCTTGGCTATTGTAGTATATTTTATTAGAGCCAAAATAGTTTAAGTATTACCATTTCAACTTGGATTCAACACAATATTCAATACAGAATATTACTAAGAAGTTACTTTATGGTTTTGTTTTGTTTTTTTGGTACCAAGTCTTTGAAACCTAGGTTTGGAGTGTCCATTAGCCACATGTTGTTTATTGGGACTGAAGTGGATGGAGTGGCTTGGGGGTCAGCACACTATGGCTTGTGAACCAAATCTGTCCCACCCCTGTTTCTGTACAGCCTCATGAGCTAAGAATGGTTTTTACATATTTAAATAGTTGAGGGGGGAAATCAAAACCAGAATATTCTGTGATATGTGAAAATTATATGAAATTCACATCTCTGTGTCCATAAATAACATACAATTGGAACACAGCCCCATTTATTCATCTACAGAGATCTCTGCTTTCCCTGGCTGAGCGGAGCAGTTGTGACAAAGACCACTTGGCCCTCAAAGCTGAGAACATTTACTCTCCAGCCTTCTACAGAAAACATTAGTTGGCCTGTGCTCCAGAGACTAGAGCACAACTCCACCAGCTCCTCCTGACTCCAGGACTTCTGCAAGCCTCAGTTTCCTCATCTGGAAAGTGGGGGCATGAATGGTCATTCCATCTAGGAAAGATTTAGTGAGAGAGAGTAGACAGTGCCTGGCACATCATGGGTCCTGGGGAAATATCGGTTCCCCCATCTCATCTTTCTCTAGCTCCCTGGCAGGTCATAACAAAATAACGCTGGGCCCTTAGGTAGAATGTACTGTGTGTAGGTTAATTTACCTAACAACTCAGAACAGTGCAGAACACAGAGTAAAACATTTGTATGTGTTCACCAGTATTACTCTTTTGTTGTTATTATTATTATGAAGCCCAGGAAATGCACCAACCTCCTGAAAACATTTGTGGAAAGGATTCCCCAAGGAAACCAAGCACTAGTGAAGAGCTCTCTGAGAGGCAGTTCAAGATCACGAGGCAGAAGTGGAAGAAACAGGGCAGTTGCCTCATGTCATCTGCGAGGATGTGAACTTGAAACACCCAGAACCAGAAACTGGCCTGAAAGACCCCTTCCGCGTTGCCCTCCTGACCAGTTTTGGAATAAATACAGAGGCAGAACTGAGTTGATCAGCAGCAAAATGAGGTTAGCCAGTGTCACGCAAGTCCCGGCAAGGGCGAGGCCATTTTCACCCACGCCGTCAGGCAGCTGGGCAGCTCCCACTACGTTCCAGAGGTTCTGTGAAGAGTCGGGGCCAATGAAGTCACCGCAAGGAGGGGACGCGATAGCCCGCCGCCTGAGGACAGCGTTATTTATGCTCTTGCAGAATGTACAAGCGGATCTTGTTTTTCTGGACGATGAGGGAGCCGGCTCACATAGCGTCCGTGATTCTACATTTAGAATTGTGTCTTCATTCACATTCTTTCCACGCAGCTCACAGCTCCTGGACTGGAAGAGAGTGGTCACTTACTTTGCCTGGGCCCGTCCCCCCAGGAAGATGCCAGCTCCTGCTCACGCAGACCCTGAGCTCCTGGTGAAGCTCAGGCTGAGTTCTCAGGGTGTGTTTTGTGCCTGGTGGTGGTGGGGGGGGTTCACGCTGGTGCCCCACCATGAGCATGAACCATACGTGGGGTCCCTGGCACCGGGCAGGTGGAGGCACATTCTGGGAGAAATCGGATTCTGCAGTGGTCAGCTGTGGTCAGGCTGGCTGGCCAGGGTCCCGAGCCAAGCTCTGAGGGCTCCTGCTCCCAGGACGGGCTCTTGCTGGGTCAAGTGTGTTTTATTGTTGTCTCCCGATCCCTCCTGCTGATGTCGTTGACAAAGCTGCCCGGCCACTGCCCTGCCCCCCTGAACGTTCCCTCGCTCATTCTTACAGTTTTCTTTCCTCAATCAGCCACTTCAAGCAAACACTGTCAGCTCCAGCCGCACAGCAAAGCTCACCGCTTCTAGGATCCTAAACCAGACATGAGGTCATGTTTTCCACCTGTGAAGAATTAAAAGTAAGCTGGGGAAGAAACGTCCTGAGGGGTGGGAGGAAAATCAGGGGCCCTGCTGAAATCGTTTCAGCTCAGGTTACTCGCGCCCCAAAGCCAACTCCTCCATAAAATGGGCTTCAGTAATGCCACCTTTCCTAAAGCCTGGAACAAAATGATTTGGGTCAAAGGCAGATAGGGTATGAACTGACTATAAATTTGTTTCAGCGTGTAATAGGGTTAAAAAATGAACTAGAGCATTAAATCCATGATTTCCTCAGTATTGCTATTGACCAAAATGCTGGGGTTTTTTAAAATTTTCCGTTGAATTTTCAATTTAAATTCTCTTTACAGAAAAATACATAAACAGTGGACAGATGGTTGAAGATGTGGCAAAAAAATCGTGAAAAAAAAATGACTGGCATTTGAGAAGCTTTGCAATATACAAGTCTACCCGTGTACATGAACGCTTTTGATCAACCCCACAAGGCACAGGCAACCTGTCCATCTCAGAGACAAGGAAACTGAGGCACAGAGAGGCTGAGTGATGGGGCTAGTCTCAAACAGCTAGGAATACGAGGGGCCAGGGCTCCAAATCCTATGTTTTGTTTTGTTTTGTTTTAATGCTGGCTTGCATCTCAAGTTGATCCTTTTTATCTGCCAGGTTGGCTACTGTTGGTTTTGACAAGCAGTGAAGGTGGGTGGGGTGGGTACCATCAAGGGGTTCACTTTGGTCTCCCTTGAACCACGTCTGAGTGCTGATCAGTGAGCAGGTGTCCCCACAGGCAGATCTTAAGCTCTTTGGGCAAAAGGTATGTTCTGAGGCTCCCAGAGAGCAGGAGCTGGATCCTCCTGCTGGTTGGGAGTCTGACCCCTCCATTCACAGAGCAATGAGGAGCTGTTCTTTCTGATTTGTTTGAACTGAAGTACCAAGACCCAGCTCCCTGTGACCATGCCACCACTGGGTTCAAGGCTGGAGGTGGTGCCAGGCCTTGAGTTGGGGCTGGGACAGAGGTTGCTGGCTTTGGGGAGCCCACAGGGGCAGGCAGGACAGTCCACAAATAGATACAGAGGTACAGTGTGCTACAGGCTTCCAAGGGCTTTGGGCATCTCGTGGAGCGGGGCACCTGTCTGGGACCAAGTACCTCTGCTTTCCCAGGGCCATGGGGCGGGGGAGCATGAGAAAGGATCTTGAAAAGAAGGAAAACAAACAAAAAGGTCTGCATTAAAATTCTTGTGCTCCTGGTAGCGAGCAGACTCTCCCAGGGCACACTTGGGAAGGGTTAAGAGGGCACCTGGGAGCTGTCACAGAGGGAGCAAAAGCAGAAGGGCTGGAAGACGTTTGGGTGTCTGCAGGCAGTTTGGGGAGCAGGTGACCCCAGGCCAAGAAAGAAAGTGGCCACGGGAAAGGTGGAGCCCCTCCCAGAGGCGGAGAGGGCAGCTCCTCCCTGGCAGAATGAGACCGGTCCACCGGCACTTGGACCTTGCAAAAACCAGATCCGCCATGGCCGGGCTCACCAAATGGGCGCTTACCTCGTCCCTTCCCTGATTATTTCATATCCTCCTGCAGCTCTCACCCTGAAACCCCAGCCTGGCCTGCCCCCAGCCTGCTGCAGCTGGGCATGTTATTTTGCTCCAAAAGCACAGCCGAGGACGGCTCCTTACTCGAGGAATGCAGGCTGCGGTCCTCCGAGCCGATGATGAAACAGGCTATTTCTGCCCCGGGACATCAGCAGGCCTCCAGGCGCTGGCTCCAAGGCACACACACGCTATCGTGTTTTCAATGTTTGTCTAAACAAAGGTTTTCCTCTGCACCTTGGGCTATTTTTCTTTGCGTCTCGGTGCTGGAATAGTTCTCAAACTCATTCTGGATTGAAGTTGGACTCTTGGTCAGGGTCCGGCTAAGAGGCGAGCCATTTCTCTCTCCCCAAGTTATCTATTACCCGTGGCCGATCTCAAGATAAAAATAGCCGCAGAAGCTGTTTGTTTAATCTGACTGTTACTTGACACCACGCGGGTGTTGCAGTGGGGACTGTTGCCTCTTCTCCACCAAGAACACCATTTGGTCTCCCCCGGCGGGCTCTCTATTTAGGTACGCTTCCCGAACTTCCCGTGTCTGGGCAGCTTCTGGGCACTGATTGTCCTCAGGTGGGCAGGTTTGTGGACAGTAAGAGGTCCAGGTCTTGAATCCACTCCCCCCCGTCTTTGGGCAGTCCGGCTAACAAGGGAAGAAATCTGGGCTGCTGGGCAGAGCCGGGCTGCTGGAAGAGGCAGGGTTTTCTGTCCCCATTCCTGGGAGGCCTGGAGAGCAAGCCGCCGGGACTCGCGGAGAGCGGAAGGTAGGGACAGACGCTGGTCTGGTTCCTTCGCGTAGGCAGAGAGGCTCAAGCTCCGGCCGCAGGGATGTGCGCTCTGACCAGCGGTGTTGGCTGTCTCTCTGAGCCAGGGTGCCGTGCAGGGCGGCGTGAGCGGCCAGGGGCATGTCGAGGGCTGAGTTGCTCGGTGTGCTGGGTGTGCTGTGGTGCTGGATTGCTGTGTGGACCATGAGGGTACAGAGTACACGGTATAGACCTGTGTGACTTTGTCCTTCCGTGCATCTGTCCGGGCACTCTGCTCGCATACGGCTGAGCGGGCACAAGCCTTGGATGTGCCCGGGGCACTGCACCGCCACATGGGGGCCACCCCACAGTCACACGTTCTGTGCAGGCAGACTGGCTTTCTTGTGTCCCCCAGTGCTGGGTCAGGCAGGAGCCTATCAGCCGTAACAAAGAGGACAATTGGTCAGCGGGACATTCTGGCCCATGGACTCCAAGAGCATATGTGTCAGCAGGGAACTCCTGCACAGTCTGTATTTTCTCCCACACCCTGGGGGTTCTTAGTCAGCTCCCGCGGGGTGGGCTTGGCCGAATCTAAAATCATACTCTTTTTTACCTGGTGCAGAAGAATTGATCGTTGAGAAGAGCGATACTAAACATGTATGGAAAGCTAGATAGCCTTTATTTTAAATTTTTTTGGTGGGGGGAACATTCATTCATTTTATTTATTTTTAGAGGAGGTACCGGGGATTGAACCCAGGACCTTGTGCTTGCTAAGTATGTGCTCTACGTCTTGAGCTACGCCCCCCCCCTAGATAACCTTTAAAAAGTTATTATTTAGGACTTTATAACACTCCCAAGGATATTGATAATCAGGGAGGCTATGCATGGGGGGTGGGGCAGGGACTATATGAGAAATCTGCACATTTCACTTGATTACTCAATTTTGCTGAGAACCTGAAACTGCTCTAGAAAATAAAGGCTATTAAAAAAAATCAGCATAAACTATGGATCATGTATTTTAACATAATCTAACTCGGTTGTTACAAACAATGTTTGAAGTAGTATTTTTTAATACCCACAAGTCTAGGAGCCCTGGAAAGTAGATAGAACACATGTTTGTGTTAAATGAGGTCTAATGTTCCAGCATTTGTGTTCTCTTTACTCCAGTAGTTGGTAAACCACTGAGCTGGGCACCTGGTTTTGTAAATAAAGTTTTATTGGCACACAGCCACACTCGTTCAATTCCCACGTCGTCTCAGGCTGCTTTCACGCAACTGCCGAGGCCACGTGGCCAGCAAAAACAAAACATTTATCATGCAGCCCTTTACAGAAAGTATTTGCTGACCCCTGTTGTACAAGAACACTGCTTGAGACGGGTCGATCTGGTACATACACAAAAAGCAATGAACATTCTAGCTTTTACAACAGTCTGCGAGCCGGATGCTTCAGGACCACCAGCCAATTCTGGAGACCCCTGCCCCTCTGCTGGGCCGTTTTTTCCAGTCTAGCTGATACAGGAGATGTTCAGTCCGCCACTGGGAAGGTTAGCTTTGCTGTGGAGGGTGGCCTGGGCTGAGCAGGGCCGATTGTGCTTATCAGGGTGGTTTATAAATAGACGTCTCCGGGTGACCCAGGTCCAGTGTGTGTCTGCCCCTTGGTCTTTGGAAGGGGAACAATTGTGCCTGCTCACTGGTGACCGGAAGCTCATTGGGATGGGAGCAACTGTGCCTGCTGGGAGGAAAGGGGCTGATAGAATGCTGGGTCCCTGGAAACAGGGTCCTGGGTCCTGGATCCCCTGGGAGCCTGGGAGATGGAGGCGTGTGGAGGAGATGGGACAGAGACAACCCCCAGTCCTCCAAGGATGAGTGCATCCACCCCGATGTCCTCCCACTAGGACTCCAGCAAGTGACTTGGTGTTTTCTGCTCTTTGCTCCTGACCCTAAGGAAGCCCTGGAGACCCTGTACAGAAAGGCGAAGCTCCACGTCTGGAAATAGCCTTATTCCTCCAGCCTATGCCAGAAATCTCAGTAACTGAAACCCGCCAGGGCTGGGCTGTCTTCCTCACTGGCTCTTGGTGCCTTCAGTCCCTCTGCCCAGGGAGAGATGAAAAGGGCTTTCAGAGATGGTGGCCCATGTATAGACACATGGCACTGACATTTCCCAAAAGGCTGCAGTGGGTCTTGGTTTTATTTCCATCTGAGGGTTTAAACCACATTTTGCCAGATCCAGCCAATCCATAGCCTTATAACTCAATCTTATGTTTCATTTCTATAGTTGGGAAAACCCCAAACACCTCTCAGTTTCTACTTGATCCCAGGGGTGGCAGGACAGGGACTGGGAGGTGTGGGGGGACGAGGGGGATGAGGGATCATTCAAGGTGCATGGATCTAGGCCCCAAAATGGAATGTGTGGAGCACCGCTGAGATGTGTCCCCCCTCTCCCCCACATAAGTCAGTATCATTCTGGAACATTCTCTGGAAGGGGCTGCGTGTGTGAGTAGTATGTGGCCGCCGATGTCAAGGCTGAGACAGAGTGGGTTGTCAGCAGGCCTCAGTTCCCAGGCCGAGGGCTGAAGAAGGCTCGGTGCGAAGTGCAGTTCCTTCCGAGCTGCGTCGTTCAGAGCGTTTGGGAATCTGATCGCAGGAGGCGCCGAAGAGCTAATGAACTTCAGTGGCTTTCAGCGGACTTGACAGACCTCTCTTTCTCGTGGGAAGGGGCAAGGGAGCCTTCCGCACCACAGCAGTGAAAGCGGGGTGATGGCCTTCCCCGTATCCTCTGTTCTCTGCTTGGCTGGCCCTGGAGGCTCCAGCCCAGAAAGGACATTGTGCAACGAAGGGCTTCCAAACCCACGGAGATGCCGGCTCCGAGCATCAGCAGGCGCCTTTTGTTCCTTGGGGCCTCTGCACCCTGGACGCTGTTCCCTGGCCGCAGTGGGTCCCTTCTGTCCCTGAGTGGCCCCTTCCGTCCCTGAGTGGCCCCTTCCCAGGTGAGCTTGAGCTGCTGAGGGACTTCAAGGCTGAGCTAAGGGACGGATTTCATCTCGGCCATCTCCCATCTTAAAGCCTTCACCTGAAGCTTAAAGGAAGGCCAGGAGAGAAAGGAAACTCAGATTTGCTTGAGCAGCCCAGGGCTTTCCTGCTCCCCACCCAGCCTGGAGGCCTCGTGCCTCTGAGCCCTGCCTGCAATGGCCAGGTCATGTCAGAGCTGTCCCTTGGCTTGCCCTGTCCTGGGGCAGCCTGGTCACCTGAGCACCACCAGCCACTCCCCTCACCTGGCCCTGCCCGTCCTTCTGAAGCAGGTGAGACCCGAAAGCCACAGAGGTCAAGGGGTCAGAACTCAGACCCACAAGCTCAGAGCCATTTCTCACCCACAGTATCCCTGTAAGTTCATTACTGCAATCCAGCTGCATCATTCCCGGGCATAAAACGCTTACAAAGATGGTCTGGTTTTATCGTCACTCATCCAGCATGCAAGTTTTCCCATGGTGGTTCTGGTGATGGTCTAGGAGACGCGGGCACGGTTTTCAAGGCAAATGCTGTACCAGCACCAAAGCTGCTTGAGGTCGGCTGATATCTGTTCAGAATGAGGCAGCTGCGCGATTTGCTCGGGCAGAGAAACCAGACAGAGAGGGCAAAGGCTGGAGGTGGTTCCAAGGACAAGGAAGCCTCTGGGGCCCTGGGCCGCCACCGCCTCACTTCTCTCTCCCTTTTCTGTTGGGAAAAGGTTGTCATCCTTGTGAGCCTGTGCCCCTGGCCCTGGGTTAAGCAGGTGGCATGGTGGGGATGGTCATGAGATGTTGACAGTTACTAGATGTCAGCCACCTCACAGACACGAGTTCACCGGGTCCTCATAAGGACCCCGTGAGGATGGTACTACCTTCATCTCATTTTACAGATGAGGAAACCAAGGAGGGAGGGTAAAGCTCAGTGGTAGAGTGTCTGCTTAGCATGCACAAGGTCCTGGGTTCAATCCCCAGTGCTGCCATTAAAAGAAAAAAATGACAGATCAGGAAACCAAAGCACAGAATGGTTTCATAATTTATAATTGCTGAGGGCCACTCACAGCCAGGACAGCCAGGAACCATGCCCAAGAGGGTCTGGCCTCAGTCCATGCCCCTCCCACTAGGCTAGAGCGCCCCCACTTGGGGATTAGAAATGAGGCAAGTGTCATTCAGTAAGCACCTACTATGCGCTTTCCACGCATGAGCTCTTTGAAAGCGCACCGAAATCTTGGCAGGTGTTAGTATAGCCACGGTAGATGTGGGATTGCTTCAGAGCAGCGGAAGCTTCCACTTGCCGGGTCCTTTCTCTGTGTAAGTCTCTCCTGGGCTCTGATATTTTTTCCCTCTACTCTTCACAACCACCCAGGGAGGCAGGTGCAGTTGCAGATGAAAGAAGGGAGGCTCAGAGAGGTGGGGGAACTGGCTGAGGTCACACGGGGCTAAGAAATGGGAGCGTGATCTGACTCTAACGTGATGCTCTTTCTACCGCCATCTGCTCGGTACCCAGCTTGGACCCAGCTGGATGCCTGTGCACAGACTGGCAGTAAAACTCCCTCCCAGCTGCCTTCAAGCAAGCCCTGCCCATGAGACCACTCTCTTTCCACCTCCTAAACCCTGCAGCTCAGACTGACCACTGGCTCTTCTCCCCTCCCAGGTGACAGTCCCTTGGAGAGATGGCATTTCTGATTCATCTCTGCACCCCACACATGCACAGCCTGCCCAGAGCCCAGCCTAGAGCCAAGCAAACACAGCCCAAACCACAGTCGTTGACAA